ATAAACAAACGCGGGGAAATGTCTCCTGCATCATCTCCATTCGGCGCTGTACCATTTTGTAGCTCTCGTACAAGCTAATTCCAGACTTGGTGGTTCTGTACTAGTGCCGACATCCCGTCCCGGATAACACGGCAAGCCTTTCACGAAACAGGCAACACGGTCAATCCACATGATGATTTTCCTCGGACCGACGAAATAAGGGAGCCAATAATGTAACTTGAAGACGGACAGATTAATAAACGCCACGTTCGATAACGTCGTAGAAGCCAGGTCGCAGTTTGCGGGGGAACGAGCAGCGACGCTGACTGGTGGTCCGTCGGGCCGGGTTCGCTGCAGTGCTGTATCAGTCTGTGAGGGAATGGCTTCATCGTTGCACGCTAGCGAGTTGTTGGAGAGAAGAAATGCTACGAGATGAGGCATACCGGAATGTGGGAGCTGAAACCATTGGGCTGATCATGTAGAATCCCCTCAAGATCTTGGGGCGCCTGAAGCTGTAGCTTACGCGCTGCAAAGTTGAATGAGGGGTAATATCTCAGTTTTATGCTGTAGCAATTGATCGGACATTGCGGTGTATGTCTAGATTGTCAGCTTCATGTGTATTTTGCTGCTGAGACTTGTCGCTGAGAGCTTGGGTCAGCACAGAGAACTTGGAGGTGCAATATCAGATATATATTTCATCATTGGCTGCACCGACAGCTGGGAAACCATAGTTCGACGATGCTTCTTGCAGCAAGATGGATTCCAGAAGTCTATATGTACGAGATACAACAGTCTGAATGTCAGTCAGTCAGACGGCCTTGGTTGAAGGCTGACCATCGACGCATGCCTATCTCTCATTGGACAGCAAGACATGATTGGCCAGTATGCTCTACAGGCCTCCCTCTCAGCCTTGGTCTCTAAGCAGAAACAATATTGCATCGGCAGGATTGTCAATTTTTTGAGTGTCTTCAAGGAATATTTTACCTCCCAAAGTCTTGATAACTAAAGACCTGGTAGCATTAGTTCCTTCATTGCCTCGCGCGACTCGCGGACTGCCTGCAATATCAGCATCCAAGTACTCACAGTCTCAGCATATGAACAGGTGCCGGTAGTAAGGCCAGTGCATGTATGCCAAAGAACCTCGAAGACAGCGTTGATGACAAGAGGCTCCTCTAGTGGAACTGGCTGATGTCGCCTTCTACAAAGATGGCAGAAACTGATCTCGGCTAATTTCTAGGGATATTTCAGTGTACGAGACAGTAAACCGAGATGGGAAATGTCATGCGAACCTGAGTCGTGTCATACTGTGAGCCTTGACAGTCCCTAGCGGTAGCTTTTGATTGGGTGCCATCAATAGCATCGCTGAAGAAGCAGTTCTGAAATTGAGTCCCAGAGAACGAGAAACAATATTAACTCCCTCGACAAGTTGTTGCTTTCCGGGTCGCCAACATTGCTTCTTTGTCGTAAGGTGCGAGAGCTGCAAATCACTGAAGGCTTGCGAAATGTGTTGAATGCACGTTATCACCTCGCAGTTCTGCTTTCTCCTTCCGGTTTCGGGCCAGTTGCCGCGAGATTTGACCCTCACGGGAGATTCACACTATATAAATCAGAGGTTCATGCATATCAAGAGACGCTTGTTCTGGACGCAGCCCTAGGCTCACCTCACGGGATAATTCCTGAGGATTAAGATGTTCTTGCCATTAGATCGCGGAGAATGTGTACCTGGGAACTTATAAACTTCTATAAAGTCTATAGAATAGTCAGAGGTAAAGAATATAAAATTAATCTAGATTTACTTGGAATGAGGCAGGTGTATACATAAGCTAGATGTTGGGTTGCGTCCTCAAGACTCATGTAAAGATTCAACCGAAACTTTTGTCCATGGACATTTCGTTCCACTTCCACTCAATTTATCAAGACCAATTCTATAGGCAAACCGAAGGCTTCTTTTCCCTCCCTATCCAACATGTTGCACACTTTTTCTGGCGAAAAACAGCGATGCAGCAGCCTTTAATTTGGCATAGCAGTGGCTTACCCTGAAGTGGCCAGCGCAAACCCTAAGACTGCATAAGCGGAGACTCGTTCCGGGTAATCGCTTACGGTGGATCAGACACGCTGGCCCCCTCTGTAGCAACTGAACCAGACAGGGCGATGCAATTGACCCGATACCTACCTACGCCCCAAGAACAATCCGCAAACTGACGTGATCGATATTACCATGTCGAGGGACAAAGTAGACAAGCAAATTCACAAAGAATATTTGTCGCATTCACAACGAAGCCAAAGGATGCGCCCGCCGCAAGACTCTTACGCAGCGCCCCGTAAAATGTCCCAGCGCTGAAGCTTATCACGCCCATATCAAATCCTCCAGTACTCAATACATTCCTACATTCGCTCACATTCAAATTGTCGCTAGGTATCCTTCAACGCTTTTTGTCCATTCAAACTCTCTTTCAAGTCTACAGGTAAGTTTCTATAGGGGCTATGCCCTGTCAAGTCTTGAAACCGCGTCCAATGAAGGGAAGCGAGAGGCAGGAAGCGTCGCATTAAGCCTCCATCCATGGCCAGACACTACGCCTCGGAAATAATGACCATAATCGAGAACCTGACAGACTCGGGGCCATCTAATTTCAGCCTCTTGAAATGGGAGGCTGCACCATTTCGGCTATCAACTAGCTACCAAGCGAGAACAGTCGTCAATGCAGCAGGACATTTAAGAGAGAGCAAGGACAACCGGCATTCTCAATAGTCGTCTGAGGCTTCTATTATATAAGTAAGTCAATGACAGGTTTCAGTATATATTGGGGCACGCTGACTGTCAGCTGATCGTCTCCAGAACTGGTCTTATCCCAGAGGAGCTAACCGACCACCATTGATTCGACCAACGACTGCTAACAAGCGCTTATTCCCTTGCAGTGTCTTTATGCAGCATAACGCGAGCTAAAATTGTGCCTGTGGACCGATATATGGTGATTACCTAGCCTGGCAGATGTCATCGTCAACACTAGACTTTACCTGTTCTCCAAAGGGAATTCGATGACTGCACTAAAGGGCCGTGAGTTTTGGGATTGTGATCAGCATCTAGTTCATACTCAACTATTCTTAATCTATGTAATCCACGAAAAAGACAATAAATTTGAATCAGGGTTGCTAGATATATATCACAGACTTAAAATGCTACTAAGCTGGTTTCTATAAAGTACTTAATGCAGCTTGAGTAGGACAAGTCTTGCTGAGTCATTCTGCAAGCGCCAGGGTTTACCGCCCTCTGTGGCGGGACCTCAGGTTCGGGTTAGCGCGCGTTATGAACGACAGCCATTCCATCAAGTGATGGCCGCTTCGGTCATCGAGGAGCTATCCTCACGACTAAAACGATAGAATCAGGAAAAGCTTTAGTTTAGTATAATAAAAGCATATTCCAAGGTCTTCAGCTAGTGTGAATATTGATACTATAGTACGTATGACTTGTAAACTCCTAAATCAATATATTTCCTCTCTCAAAGACTTTCCCAGTAATATTTGCCTTATAGGTCATTGATCCGCAATTGAAATTAACCAGTCCAGTTAAATTCGCTTTGGTGAAGTCCAGTAAGATATACCCGGTGGTAGGCAGAAGGTGTGATCTATCGAAAGCGATTGCGGCGCCCATGTTCTATCTAGCCAATTGATCGTTTCGGGTTGGGATGATTTTGAACTTGGTCATTGAATTTCTGACGTATTTGGTGTATGTTCGGCCGAGCTCGACGGGCGCCATCCACGCATCCAGGGCACGAAGTATGAGTTAGTAGTGTACCGTATTTCTCCGTTGCTCCCGCCTAATAGCGACCACAATGGGAATGATACTCCTGGAAAAATCGCAAGATCGTATATGTTTGCATCCCACTGGTTACCCTTGGGATCATACACCCCGGGGAACTGATATATTCAACTTGGTCTCGTAAAGTTCGAACCGTCCCCAAACCTTTCTTGGAAAGTGACCTTCCATAGCCTGTATGGAAGAGTAAAAGGCGGCCCCGAGCGCTTTTCGTGCTTCTTTTGAGTATTTGTGTTTTCAATATCCAATTCAAAAAAAGGAGGGTCGTCAACAACAGGGACAGAGTCATCGCCTTCGAGCTTGATGAAAATGTTTTCGAGAGCAGGGTTCTCAAGAGCTACAGGAGTAGCCCTGACAAAGTTCAACAGGAATAGCAGGAAATAGAGAAAATACAAGTTTGTGGTGCTTGTTGAGTGATGATATTGGTAGGAGGTGAGTTCATATAGTGAGAAGAAGTGAATCTAGGATTATTGCTGGGATGGTGTAGCTTCTAATATACCTTTGTCACTTGACTGTCTTGGAGAGACCGCACCATTGCCAGCAAATATTCACTTATCTAATTTGGCAAAAGTGTGAGCTTGTCTAGCTCTTTGCAACCTAGAGTTTGTGGCAAATGCCAGTCGCTTCTTACTGTTTCTAATGTCTCAGGCTCTAGAAGAGGTATATCCAATAGCTTTGTCCTCTAATAATTAATAGTATAGCTTACATTGTACTACTTACTGATACTGTGGTTTGGCTTCAAGCCACTTTATACTTCTGCAATAAGCTTGTCCTTATTAACATTATAGGTCTCCTTCCTTTGAGCCTAGATTCATGACTGATTTCGGTAGACAGAAAAGGCTTGAAACCTGGGCAAGGCCAAACTCTACGTCTGCCTACAGTGGGGAACAGAAAGTGAATCTCCTCATGCTTGCCTGATTTTCAAGCCTTTAGCTGCAGTCCAGGCCTTTTAGCTTAGATGGGGAATTTGAACGCATATACCTATTGACTTTTAGTTGCAACGTGGGGGCCTTATGCTTTTCTAGTAGGTTTTGCAATTGACTTACTTATAAGCTTAGAATATTCTAGCCAAACACAAAAGCGCGGCCAAGAACCGAACAAAGTAGGAAGCAGAAGCGAAATCCGCCTCATCCTGGATTACATACTATCGAGATGCCCAGGTCGTGGTCAGCAGTGACTTTAGTGTATGCACCTGAAACGTCAAGCCTCATGAGAGTATCAGAGCGCTCTTCATCGTCTTCCGGGCGGAGATTCTATCCTCAGTAATGATAACCGCATTGCCTCTCATGAAGATCTCGCTGAGACGGTCGAGAGCTGGTTGGATGTTCACGAAGCGGTCGTTGATTTCGGCAGCGTTGGAAACAAAAGTGAGGTCGCCGGATGTGCGACGAGCCCTCTTTGCTGAGCGAGCTTGATCAGACGACTGGGCGAGTCTGACGGTACGGATATGAGGTTCGGTAGTCGTTGAATTGGTCGAAGATGATGCGGCTGAACTGGGCGGCGGAACAGCGCTCGACCTGGGCCGACGAGAAGATGGTTTTGCATCTTCGTCGCTAGTCCAGTCGATTACTAGAGACTTGCGCCCAGTATGAGGGGCGCGGGGGGGATCGTCGGGGCTAGACGAAGGTCCCGGAAGAGCTCCAGAGCCACCAGCGAGCGATTCATTAGACGTCGCAGTAGAAGATGCTGCAGGGACGGAAAGGAGGTGCTTGGGAGCCTCCATTGTACGAGCATCTCCGAAGTTCTGCTGGAGAAGCTGAAAGAGCTGACCCATGGAGCCGGGAGGTGTAGACGACGGAGGAGATGAACTGGGGACAGCGGCAGGAAGTGGGGCAAGAGCTGGAAGTGATGCGACTGCAGCGGCCGCCTCCTCACTAGCAACTGCGGCCCTTGCCGCTACCAAGTCAATAAGTTCCGGGTCCTTGACGCTTGCCGGAGGGAGACACCGGCTGTGAAATCTCTTCGAAGTTGAAGCCCGAAGGTTGGGCGATACCAACAACGGGAGGCGGTGGCAACAAGTTGCTGAAAGTAGGAAACATAGGGGTAGAAGGGCCGTTGATAGTAGAGGGTAGACTAGCGGTTGGAACGCTATTAGAAGGAGTGCTAGCAGTAGGTATAGGCGGAAGAGGAGGTGGCGCAGATGTAGCAGGAACTGACGCATCAGGTACAGACACAGCGGGTACAGACACAGCAGGCAAAGGCGTAGCTGGTGCAGACGTAGCACCTGCTGGAGGTATGGGTGTCGAAATGATACCAGAATCCAGAGGCGTGGTAGAACTAACGACAGGAGCGTCGGTAGCAGGAACGTCGGTAACAGGTGCGTCGCTGACAGGAGCAGGGGTATTGTTGACTGAAGCAGATTTATTCGCCTGTTTCCTTGCCTTCTTCAATGCCTTGAACTCCTTCCAGGAAAACCTCTTTCTATTTTCGCTTGCACCGCCTGGCTGATTACCGGTTTCTTGTTGAGAAGGATCGGGTACCAAAGATGGTGTACTTGTCTGGGTTGTCGTTTGCTTGGCGGTGCTGTTATTCTTGTCCTTGTTGTTGTTCTTATTAGTATTCTTGCTATTCTTGCTATTCTTGTTGCCGTTCTTATTACTGTTCTTGTTGCTGTTGTTGCTTCCTTGTTTGCCCCCTTTCGGATCGCTCTTGGCCTTTGTACTGCTGCTGGGCTTTGATGGCTCGGACCCGGGTGTCTCGGCTTCGACCGGCCCGTTGTCTGCTGTGCTAACTGTATCAATATCCATATCTGCAGCGCCACTATCACCATCACTGCCAGAAGACTGACTAGCACTCGGCGTCGAAGATGATGTGGTGTTTGTGTCTGTGTCCATCTCCATGGCCGTAAGAGAGTTGTCAACGTCACTGACAGAAGAGCTACTAGCATCGGCTGTCGAAGACTGAGTGTCGGGGCTTTGAACTCCTGTCCCCTCGCTTGGCGGGAGAGGGACAGTATCCGTACCGGTCATGTCTGCGTCTGGAGACGAAGAAGGTTCCGTGGAGGCGGCAGGAGATGATCCGATCACCCCAGTCTTCAAGAAGTGACCAAGCGTCTGTTGCCCAGGCTCCTTGGATGGCAGCGCTTTCGGCCTACCAACCGGTCGTTTCTCGGCCGCCTTGGAAGAAGATGCGCCGCTTTGTTCACCAGACTTAGTAGGCGAGCTTTCAGCGGGATTCGCCTTTGCCTTCGCCGGCTTAGTTTTGGTAACCGTTGGAAGAATAGGCTTTCCGGTCTTGGGCAAATGCTTAGCCCAGTGAGGGACGAGCTGTCGATACCAAGCCGACGCGCGGTGCTCCTCCCTGGATAAACTGATTGTGCACTCCAGTGACCAGGTGACATGAGGGCCGTTGCAGTTGCAGCAGCGAGAAGCCGCCTTGCAGCCCCTTGTATCATGGGCACCAGAACACCGCCCGCACAGCATGACACTGACGGTGCAGTCATCCTTGAAATGACCTGTCTTCCAGCACCTGTAGCAGAAGAGCGGGGTGCCCTGAACGCAAAATGGTCTGATTCATGCGGTTAGCTCTTAAAGTTATGAAATGCAAAGTGGTAGCCTTACACAATCTCGTAGTAATGACCAAGTAGGGTCACGCCTGTGAAGCAAAGCCGACTGACAAGATCGAAGTCCTGGGTCTTGAGTAGCATGCGTTCGTATGTTACCTTCGCTTTGATGCCTTTTACATCCAGGGCTTTGAGAAGAGCTTCTTCCAATTCTTTGTGTCCCATGCCTCCTTTGGACAAGTGTGGCACCAGATGCTCGACGTGCATGGTATAGACCGGCGAAAGGCAATAGACACCGTGCTCAAGACCGAAGAGCTCACTCATCTCTGAAATGTGCTGCCGCATGTACGCCTCTGACTCCCTAGTCAAGAAATTGATGATGACTTGGTGTTGCTGGTCGGCGGTCTTGGGAGCCTTGAGCTTGATACTTTCAATCTTCCAGCCTGAACCCTTTTCGCGAAGCTTCTGGGCTATCTCAGTCGGGTTCATCGCGTCCAGCTTTTGGAAGTCAAGGGCGTCCATCACGACCGTAATGAAGCCCGTTTCGTCATCAATCGCACCATCAAGGTTGGCAAACATCCTGTCCTCCAGGCGGTGCAGGTTGCTTTCCAGATTGCTAAGACGATCATCGACCTTGCCGAGGTAGCGCTTGATGGAGTCGTCAGAGTCGTCGGCGGCGCCTTGGATGGCGTGTTTGAGGCATTTGATGTCCTCTTCAATGCTGAAGAGGCGCCCGTTGAAGACATCAAGGGCCCTGATCTTGCCGTGATCAAGCATGCCGGCCTCGTTGAAGCGTGCATTGATATCATCGAAATGGCTCAAGCGCTCATTGATTCGATCAAGAGCTAACATCGTTTTAGAGCCGCTGATCTCGCCGACCTCGATTTTGAGCTCAGAAAGGCGATCATTCATGTTGCGGAACTGTTGACACATGAAGTCCATGATTCTGCCCATCATAGCCTCAACCTTCTCATATTCTGGAGAGTCAGGTTGAAGGTTTGTAGTGGGTGAGATGTAGCTTTCCCCACCACTGACGGCCGACTGTACAAGATCTGACGACATGACGAGAGAATAAGGGGATAGATTGTTTGGATGTAGTAAGAAGAAGGGATATAATCCTAAGACGAGGAATATACTGATTATTCTGAAGGCAATCTTTAGCTTAACAAACTTGGGGTTACAGCTTGTATCCCCAATACAAAATGCGGATCAACTGATATTATAACTCTGTCACGGTTCCTCCTGGTTACCTTGATCAGCTTCACCCCAGCAGTACCCAGCGACTCATAGTGCCTTTTCTCTCTCTGGGTAGTAATTGGCTCCTAGTTGCTTTTCGGGTTTGAGGCTGGGTGGGGGTTGGCGTTCTCATCGGGACCTGCTACAGCTATAAATCACACCGGCGCTAGTATCATTTGGAATAATCGGCGGTGACTTCGTGACTGGTCGGTGATCTTATCAATTATGCCGAGATCTACAGTTTCAATGCCTCTTTTTAGATTTTGGTTTTGCTTTTGGTAAAAATCCCTCTTTTCAGTGCATCTAGCCGATCGAGTAACGAACAAAATTGCAAAGCGCCCCCGGGCCCATTATGCTCTCAACATTTTACAGCCTCTTAATTTCACATGTTGTCACTTCCGAGGGCCTCGATGAATAACCAGCTCAACAAACTCGACTCAACGCATAAGCCCCCTATTCTGCACCGACACTTGAGGAGCTGACCAATCCGGCCCATGCATTAGCACGTTCTACTCAGAGTTTGTTTCTTTGTACCCAATTAACGCCTGAACCACCGATCGCAATTTCGCAAGAAAGGGGCTTTTCAGGTAAAGAGTGGCTATCTGTTACTCCTGCATCGTACGATTATTCGTTGCGCGAGATTGCGATCGGCAAGGCCAGCGTCTCATGCGATGAGGGAAGAGGAAGCCATTGAGACACTGTACAGTCATATATTAGGTCGACTTATAGACCCTCCTGACACTTCCATCCCAAACCATGTCTCTCATTCTTTACTTTCAACCATTCTCGCTCTGTGAAACAACAAGATTACTCATACTCTTTTCAACTAGAGCGCCTGGTTTTACTCCGTTCATTTGCCCTCCATCTGCTTCTCGCTGCTACTTGCCGCGCAAACTCAATCCCTGTTCCCATCGCTCCTGGTGTCTACTCTTGACATTGCGCAAGCTCAACACGCACCGGGAACGATGGGGAAGTCTCAGCGGCGCAAGAAGCGCCTGAAGGAAGAGGAGTTTCTGGCCCGCCACCAGCTCATCATCGATCAAGCAAACTTCAAAGGCTCTTTAGACCGTGCAAATCTCCTTCACGCGTACCAACGTGACGGGCGTAACGGTGGGACCGCCGACATCATATGTGGCTCCGACCCGTCCCCCCGGACCGCATTTCGGAGTACTCGGGACTATCACCTCAGCATCAACCCTTCTAGGGCCCTTGTTGAGAGTGATAACCCTGATGATCCAAACCGCGAACGCAAAAAGCCTGGCAAGAAGAAAGACGGTGACGACGACAAGGAGCCCGTGCGGTTCAGTCGTGTCTTCTTCTTCGTCCACAAGTCAATCCCGAGAAATCGTTGGAATGTTGAGTATCATGAGGGTCCCAATAAGGACATGCTTGCAACTCTTCATTTAACGACGGCCGACGGTCCGATTGCGATACACTCCGTGTATAACGTCAATCAGGACGATGTGAAGATTGACATCGAGCTCTTAGCTGAGCAGACAACTCGCGAACCACGCAATATCGTCATGGGAGACTTCAACCTGCATAATATATTATGGAGTGGCCCTTCATTGATGAACTCCTCCCGGGACACCCCAGCTGGCCGGTTGCTGGCGCACGAGATGATCACAAAGGCCAACATGGCACTCTTGACGAAGCAAGGTACTATCACATATACCAGGGGCAAAGGTGATGACGACGAACATGCTTCATGTATCGACCTCACCTTCGTCAGTGACTGTCTACGCTCTCAAGTTACTCATTGGGGCGTCTTCTCAGATAACCCTTGGGAGGCAAGCGACCATCGTCCCATCAGGACGGTTCTTGACATTACGCCATATAGAGACGACACAGAGAAGTTTCAGCACAGCAAGGTCAAACCTGCAGTGTTTTGCGCCGCCATCAGGGAGGGTATGTCGCGTGTTAGCGAAATGCCACTTGAAAATGAGAACGATGTGAAGGAGTACATTCCAGCGCTTCTCAACCTCATCTCATCCGCCTCTACACGCACCACCCCAACCTGTCTCGTGAACCCACCACCAAGACGGAAACCGATCGACCCTCATCTGAGACAGCTACTGCTTGGAGAAGGCGTTGGGCTCAATGTACCTGCTTCCGAACTCGACTTCAAGCCGCCGCCGAAGAAGCCAACTCCTTGGCTTGAGCGCGTTCAACAAGCAGGCGAGTCAACAGAAGCCTTTTGGTATCAGGTCAAGTTGGCACGCCAAATGGCACAAGACCGGATTGTCAAGTGCATGCCGGCGCTGGTCGATGATGACGGTGTTCCCGCTTTCTTCAGTGAGGAAGAAAAACAGGACAGGATACGATGCAAGACATGGACAAGAACCAGCGATCTCGACCACCCCGTTGACATTCCATTCCCCACCTTGAACGACACGGTCAAGATGAATCGAAAGCTGCGTCGTTTCATCGAGAAACACCTCACAGCCAAAGATATTGAGCTTCTCATCCGGAAGCTACATAACCGGAAGGCTCCAGGCCACGATTTGATTTGCATCGAGCATCTCAAGATGGCCTACAAAGAACTTGCTCCTCTCATCGCACGTCTGTTCAATATGTTACTCAAACTCGGGATCTTCCCTCCGGACTTCAAAACCGCCATTACCGCCATCCTTCCGAAATCAGGGAAGGACAGGTATAACGCAGTTAATAGCTGGCGCCCTATTGCACTTCTATCTGTTGTGGGAAAGCTCTATGAGAGGATTCTTGCTGAGCGCCTCAAGAAGTTTGTCATGGACTACGACTTGCTTCCTGAGACTCAGTATGGTGCGCCTGGGAAGTGTACTACACATGCCATTGAAAGCATGATAGGCATTATACATAAAGCCTGGAATCGGAAGTTAAGCAAAAAGTTCAAGAAACGCTGGAAGTTTATCAGGGAGAAGGTGACCATGATGGGGCTTGATGTATCTGGGGCCTACAACTGCGTCGACCCTGCACTGCTCCTACAGATGCTCGCAGACCTTGGAGTGCCCGAATCTTTCCTTCGGATAATGCACTCATATTTCTCCTACCGGGTCGTCATTCTGAAGCTGCCCCAGAGCACAGCAAAAGCATTCTATATGCTTATTGGCATTCCGCAAGGTTCGCCTCTCTCACCCTTATTGTTCCTCATCTTTACCGCACCTATTCTCCGGCAAATCAATGACGACAGAGAAAAGCTTGGCAAGGACAGAATCAGAATCTTTTCCTTCTCCTACGTTGATGACACCTATCTCATCGCCGTCTCAAACTCTTACGAGAAGAACTGCATCGGCTTGAAGATATTCCATGATGAAATCATTAAATGGGCTTCATCTGTCGGTCTGACCTTTTCACCGCAAAAGTATACTGTCATGCATTTCCGGGCTCCCAACGACCCCGATCCTCCCTGCGAACTTCTTCCAGATATCGAGGGACTCAAGGACAACCCTGAAGCGCTCAAGCAGGATAAGCTGAAGGTCCTTGGAGTGGTTCTGGATCCGGCTCTCACCTTTGCTCATCATATCTCCAACCTTGAGACGAAGGCCAACAACACAATACGACATTTCCGCATGCTTTCGAGGCCGACTTCGGGTCTCCGGCTGACTCAGACGAGGAGTTTCTACATGTCCAAGATTCGACCCATCATCTCGTACGCGTGCGCTGCCTGGTTTCTCCACTGCCCTGGTCGACGTATATCATGGTCCCTCAAGCCGAAGCAGATTCAGAGACTTGTGAAATTACAGTACAAGTGTTTACTGCTGATTTCAGGTGGTATTCGTGGAACTTCTGGTAACATGATTCTCAAGGACCTCAACATCGAGGGCATTCGTGAGTTTCTGTGCCGCATGTCCATGTCTTCACGAGCCAGGGCCATCAAAGCTCGCAGAAATGACACGTGGTTTGAGAAGCCATTAAAGATCCCCAAGGATCCGAATTACAACGTCACAGCGTATCAGATATTCGACGAGGAAGCATACAAGTTAACCGGTAGATCGGCCAAGTATTTCCGCAAGCGCCAGAAAGGCACCGACGAAGCGGCATTGAAAGCTTGGAAGATCCCAGCCAAGCGCAACGCCGCCGTCAAGAACCAAGCGAAATGGGAAGCAGAAACGAAGTGCGCCTCATCCTGGATCACCTACCGTCGCAAGAGAACTGCTCGAGTTCGCACGACACACCGTCCTGCCGCCGTCGAGGAGAAGCGAGGCCGAGTAAGCCTGAGCTACTACAAGGGATTAACTCGTCCGCAATCTACACTTGCACTACAACTGCGCACCGAGCGCGTCGGGCTCAACGGATACTTGAGCAGCATCAGAGTGACTCGAGACGTGAAGGTTCCAGGAACCGAGGACGTGATCAGGCATCCCATAAAGCCAGAATGCACGTGCGGTCATCATACTCAGACCGTCTATCACATGTTCATGCACTGCTCGGATCTTCATTCCGCCAGGTTGAGATTGATTGAGCGCATTGGAGCACTCAACTGGAAGACGTTGCTCACTACCCACCTCAAGTTCGCCGTCGACTGGGCCATGGTTTACTTCAACCTCGGCCAGTTCAAGATTGCCAAGGCGGACTCGATGTTCTACATCCCAAATGAAGGAGGTTAATCCCCTCCTTCCACGGGGTATAGATGAGACAGAGTTTGTCAGACTGTGTTACAAGACTACTCCACATCCTTTGGCAATGTTTAAGTCCCGAGGCTTCCTTATTTAAGAGTCACCACTACACACTCCATGCATCGCTTTGATGCCTTACTCAATCTCTCTATCTATATGCCGACCAGGAGATTCCTCTCTGGATTCAGCATCTGAAGACGGATCTCCCCCAGTTTAACCCACTGCTTCTTCACTGATATCACTTTTTCTGGTGCGTCATCCTGGTCCCCATCTTCATCAACAAATACTGACAGGATCCAGCAGTTCTCAGACGCAAGGTCGATTGGTCACGTGCCCGGGCACGTGCATTCAATTGGTGGATGTACGTCTCCTCGTTTCTGGTGTTTAACTCTGGTCCAACTTACTTAAGCTAGTCGTCATTGACTTCAGGTCAATTTGACTTTCGCCGACTAACTTACACAAAGTAAGTGAGCTCCCCCAACCATCTCATCATTGCGGTGCTCTCACTAACCACTGTTCTGAACCAGCAGAGTCAACCCAATTCCTTCAGTACGTTCGCTACCCTTCGTCTTCGCTACTTTGACCTTGCCTCACAGCGACAGATTCTGACTTTGACAGAACCTTCGGTCCGTAGGGCACCCCACCTCCTCCAGCAGGCTTCACTCAACCTCTCTATCCGTCTTAAGTCTGACATGTCTTAGCAGTACCCCGCCATTACCCCGCGTTCATCCGTATGTCCCTTCTTCTTCTCCCCTCACCTTGACCCATTCACCCATTGACACTCCCTGCCCAGCAGAACTCTGTTCGCAGACACGTGTCCGTAAGCCAGTGTAGAGCCTTCTCCCTATCTTCTCATCAAGCCACCACTGACCAGAGCCATCTTAGCAGCTTTGCTTTCATGGTCTCAGACTATGACCGGCCTGGTCTGTATAGCCCTTAATTAGAGCGTTGTCTGTATTGATAGACCGTTTACTGACTCAGTATTACTCTCTAGTTGACCCTCGTACGAGCGGGAGGAAGCCGAGCACACATTCGGCCTCAATGATCACATTCTGTAGCCACTCTTCGTGGCCGGCTGAGTTGTAACTTCCCTATCAAATTGTATTAGATCCTTTACTAACAAGCTCTAGCAGGCCTGAAAAGGCAGCTAGGAAGGTAGCCTGGTCGGTCGTCAGGGTCCTGCCTTGCCTTATAGCTTCTTTTAGGTCCCTCAGTTGCGATAGCTCTTCAGCTAGCCAGTCTAGGGATATCGTACGACCTAGGATATCCGGATCCGTACGACTGATCACATCAATCAGGGTACAGTCAAAAATAGCCATCTGTAAGTTACCTTAAATACCTTGATAATCCCTAATTAATAACATCTGTTATTAGTGACTAGGCTAGACTGGTTCCTCGACGAGAAGTTCTTCTTGATGGCTGCAGCCATCGTACGAAGCTTGCGGCATTCGTGGCCTGCAGCTTCTGCCAGCACCGATTCGATCGCACCGATAAGGTCGTGGTTGGTTGTACGATAGGCCTGATTGGCCTGCAGGCTGTTGCGTAGTAAGTTAAAGTACAACTTTCGCTAGTATTGTACACCTATCTGACCATAGCTTTCCTAGCAGCAGGCATCGTGACGGTGGCTATGATCGATGTTAGCAACTGTGACCAATAGGTATGTAAGTTGCCTTTGCAACTGCTACTAAAACCGAACTAACCGAGTTGAGGGAAAGTCAGGTCAGGGAACGTACTTGTGAGTTTGCGCTCGATCTCTTAGTTGGCTAGGGTCTAACTGACCTTTGAGTGGAAGTGTGATAGACTTAGCCCGGTATGTGAGTATACTCTTTAATTGCCTTCCTCTTATCTCTAAGCTCCCGTCAAGTCTCTATCGATACTGACCTTTTATTAAGGTTGAAAAGGTCGATCTAAGAGTATGCAAGCTTTCCCCCTCTTTCCCTGTTGCGCTGGAAGCTGACCTGCAGTGTCTTAGTCTTTTGGGTAGGGTGAAGGAAGAAGGCTGACACAGCTGCCGAGGGGTAAGTACGTGCTATTGCATCTTGGTATCTCATGACACGCAGCTAACCAATAGTGGACCTGCAGGCGGTATTAATACTGCTTGGTCAAGGCAGCAATTGCGCCACTGAGGCAGATAAACCTTATACGATTTTGACCTTTGAGATACGGGCCTACTATAGGGGCCTCATTGTTTAAGCCTTCAGATAGAAAGTTAGAAGCTCGATAGCCTCATCAGGCTGACAGCAAGGGAAAAAAAATAGATTGTGCTATGGGTCGCAAAACTTTCTGGTCTCCTCTCGCCTGCTTCTGTGAAAAGTCTGACACCTTCGTGTGATTGGTCGTGTTGCATGACTCATGACCTCCACACCGCCATCTATAAAACCCCGCCCGCCCTCTTCAAAGTCTTCTACCTTTCAATACCATCATCCTCGACTTTACTCTTCGCCATCGTCGCTCACACCACCATGGCTCCAAAAGCCCTCACAAATCTGCCTTCTGAGATTCGTCAGCAGATCTTCAGAGAGTGTCTACAGGTAGACGGGGGCTATGTCTACGATGTTCAGACTGATAAACTGGCGAATGCCGACGGGACCGCGATTGATCTATCCCTTCTTTATACTTGTCGCTCGATCGCAAATGACACCAGGGCGATGCCGCTGGCAGTTAATACTATTCGGTTCTCGACTGTCTTCCGCCAAGACTGGTGCAACTTGGCCGGATGCTTCGCTCTTGCTGCTACCACTCACTATGTTCTGGAGCAAGACTTTGTGTTTCATTTAGCTAAATTCATCACTCCTGAGATGTTCACCGAGCTCGAGTCAATATGCCCGGGCTTTCAGCAACTACTTGAGTTTGAGCTCGTCGAGCACAACAGATGGATACATGAGAACAACGACCCTGGATACTATTTCCAGACCGTCAAATTTCGACCAGCTGTGTGCAGCATGGTACGACAATTTATGAAAGTGGTCGACATGTTCAAGATCAATGGGATGTCTTTTCATCGTCTCTTCCGTCTTCTCCACACTGAAACCAACGCAAACAACGGCAGTGGTTCAAGTGATCGCAGGCGGCAGAAATGGGTCCAAGGCGAAGTTCGTGAGGCTACATCATATTGTCTGAAACTTATCTCCGAGACGCAACCTGATGAGTTTAAGAAATATGTATACAAATCTCTCCCCCATTGGATTGGAATTCGTCCCGCCGACGACTTTATCCACTTGAGATTCAACCTGTGGGATATCCCTTCTCAGGAGCAAGTGGCGCATATGATGGAGTTATTTGAGATTGGGCCGTTTGTTTGGGAACTTCCAGCTACCTGGTACTACACCCCGCGCAGCTTCTACGATCAAGTTGTGAAAGGTGCCCCGCAAGATCGACGGTCTCCAGAGTTTGAGAAACCGGATAATTTATTGGAGCACTTCACCAGTCGATGTCGTGAGAAGCTAAGGTTTTCTGCCACGGCTGCTGCAATTCGCTTTATTCAACGACTTACAATTAGCCAGCGGAAGCAGATGAGGAGGATTGTATTGCATGAGGACTTGCCATCGGTGAATCTGCCGTCTCGTCATACCCAAGGGTTAATTCCCTTTTTGAAAGAGAATCACATGCTTCGAGTCGAGCGTCGTGCCAGTGTTTTTGGCTGTGTAACAAGCCAGCGTCCCCACTCCATCATTGCTTATATGGACAGTGATGAGGACATACCCCTACCGACAGAGATTGCGAACCGAGAGTTTGAGGCTAGCATATACTACTGGCTCCTTGACGCTTTCGCGGTGGCGGATTCGGGCGTTAGCACCAATCGCTTCACTTTTGTTTTAGAAGCTGGGCAACACAGGGATTACTGCGCTGACCTTTTCCAGAAGGTGATCCAGACAGAAATCTCCAAGTCGAAGGCTTGGAAGATATGCTTGGATACCGGGCTCTTGGCATCTTTAAGACAAAGTACACGCGACCGCAATGCGACCAGATTTGCAAAGGACCCGAGGTTTGAGAAACTCATTGATCAGTTGGCGAACCAAACATCGAATTTGTGGTGCGACTTCAACCCCGGGGCACCATTGGATGTAGACGCATTGGTTGAGGATGCCAAGGTAAAGCACGGGGAAGCCATTTCGGATAAGTGGGTGAGCAAGTCGGATTTCGACGTCATTCCTTTGCCATACGATCTATACCATGATACAATGGTGGCTCCGAATTTCGAGTTTCAGACCCGGCAAGAGTATATTGAGTCACGGGGCGTGAATGACAACGCGGAAGACTTATAGGGGACTTGGATAGATAGACTGTCTAGGAAGGTGCTGCAATTTAAAGGGGATCTCGGGACGCTAGTAATTGATGGGGTTGGTGAACGTCATGTAGTAGAGGGTGAGTGTTGGATTTCGAGACTGATACTACATATCCGATGACTCCTTGAATTATATTTCTTTGTCCTTTAAATTTAAAAGATCCGTTAGCCAACATGGTTAAATCTACAGCAGGCGAGTGCTTCTATGGAATCCGTTCAAAAAGAAGGCTTTTTGTATTTAAACTGAAGAAAGCTGAAGTCTAGGATAAACGAGTTTTATTTATAAAATAATAGAATAAGGCAATGTATCAGACTATGTTACATATAGGCCTCAAAAGAGCCCTACAAGGCACAGTCATGTTGTATTACTGCTACATTCACTCCGAGTCCCAAACGTGGACGAGAAAGGAAGCTCAAGGTCAATGAAGACGAAGGGATGCGATGAGTAGAGAGCATAGGTCATCAGCATCAGAGCCTTATAGATGAAGTAAATCTGCAGGCCATCTTATAACAACTCATTCTAGAACTTGGCTGTCTCAAAAACGCCATGTCGTCCTGCTCCACTACTGAAATTCGCCGCGCCCTTCACACTCTCGGTCGTAATGACCTTGACCCCATTCTCAAACTCATTCCTCAACGCATCCTGAAACGACGATGCGTTATATACGGAGTAGTAACAATTCGCCCTGTCCACATTCATGCACTCCTGCGGAAACATGAGAAGCTGCTTCGCAATCTTGGTCGCCTCCACCAACGCCTGACCCTTAGGTACAACACGGTTCGCGAGTCCAAACTGCAACGCCTCCTGCGCTGAGACAGGTCTTCCAGTGAGGATCATGTCCATCGCTCGGCCGAGGCCGATGATAGCCTGTAGCCGAACTGTACCGCCGTCGATGAGGGGAACGCCAAATCTTCGGCAAAATACACCGAAGACAGCATCTTCCTCGGCAATGCGCATGTCGCCTATGAGCGAGAGCTCCAAGCCTCCAGCGACAGCGTAGCCTGCTACGGCGCTGATGACGGGCTTCTTTACTTGCATTCTAGAAGGTCCAATTGGGCCGATGTTGCGGTCTTCAACCTTGTGACTAGGGTCGATGATTGGGCCAAGGTAGTTGTCTGTTCCCTGAGCGGGATTCCATTTGGCTACTTCGTGGAGATCGAAGCCTGCGCAGAAAGTGCCGTGCGCGCCGTAGATGATGCAGACCTTTTGCGTGGCGTCGTTCTCAAATGCTAGGACGGCGTCGGTGAGCTTTTTGGCTGTAGGTCCGTCTATGGCATTTTTGCGGTGAGGGCGTGAAAGACTAATGGTTGTGATTCCATCAGGAGTCTGGGAGACCTGAACTGCTTGAGGCTCGGTATCAGACATGTTGGTTGAGATGAGGGAGTTGTTATAAGTGCTGAGGCAACGAGGAAGAATAGTCCGTTCAAACTTCCTTTTATATGCAGGATCGGCTGGATCGGATCATCAGCCCGTTATAGCCGACGAAGAGTTCACGCTCTAGTTATTATCAATACGAGGGGAATGTATATTGAAGGGCGTGACTCATGAAGTAATTGGACGTCTCCCCAGCTTTGACGTCTGCAGAGGATATTTTGAGTTTAGCGTCATCTGATAGCCTCGGCAATGAGGCTGTCTCTACAAGGAGTTCTCAAAAAACGTAGGTAAATGCGAACAGACGCATACATTTCATTTCAAGATGATTCTCAATTAAGTCTACGAGCATTCGCAAGCGAAAAGAGTATTATCATCGCAATAGAAACTCGTAGGTCCCTTGTCAGGCTTGTGAATGGGAACAGTGTCGGGAACACTTTAATCCGGTCTCGTCTCATCAGTCTAACCGAATCCAATCGTCCCTGAACTCACAACGCGACGAACATCTGTACAATCAGGGGTACAGTTCCTGCAACCATGGAGTCAAGAGAAATTAATTCTGGCCTTCTTATGCGACTCTTCACTTTATTTCTCTACAATGTTAACAAAATCCCATGCGTCCGCCGCCTACGAAAACATCCAGGGCGTATCCTCCTCGTGTCTTCCAAGCTCTGTATCAAAGCAACCGCCTTCACAACACTGACTGAAGCAAATACCATGCAATTCGTTGCGAAAAACACATCAATACCAGTTCCCAAAATTTACTGTAGCTTCAAGCACAGAGGTCGTGTCTATATACTCATGGAAAGGATCCGAGGTCGGGATCTATCTCAAAGTTGGACGCAACGACCGGGAGACTCCAAGGCGCGTATTCTCGCGCAATTGAAGACTTTGATCACGGAACTACGGAGCGTTGCCCCAACAGATGGCGTTGGTGTCTCCAACGTTGATGGGGTTCCCATCTTTGACCAGTGTCTTCCTGATAAATCCTTCTGGGGTCCTTTTGCAACAATTCAAGAGTTTCATCGAGAGTTACGTCGTGGTCTTGAGCTTGGAGATGATAAAGAGGCCTTTCCGGGCTTGCGGGAACTCATAGACTTTCATAACGGGCCCTGGGAGGGCCCAGTCTTCACTCACGGTGACCTAAGCAGTCTCAATATCATGGCTGATGGGGATACGGTGACAGGCATTGTGGACTGGGAGTCGGCTGGATGGATGCCTCCATACTGGGAGTATACATCAGCTTGGCATGTTAATCCACGAAATACATTCTGGTGCGATGCGGTCGACGGGTTGCTCACGCCTTTACCGCATGAGCTGGAAATGGAAAGGATACGTCGGCAGTACTTTGGCGAATTCTAATGAGGTCTCAATATACAAGTTTTCTGCGATCGGCTTCGCTTATCATACTGAATCCTCATGGTACCAATTCCTTTCCTTGAAGCAGACTATATGTCGATACTCTGCTAGTATCGAACTGTCCTGGGGCAGCTTGACCATCAAATCGATGCTGCAAGGCCTTCTGCTCAACGTACCACATAGCCGTATCACGGGCCGTGGTCCAATCTAGTACCGCAGTTCCCAACGCCTTGTTGTTACTCTGCAGAGTTGACAGTGCTTCCTTGACCCATTCAACACAATTCCATCCCGGCTGTCCCCCCCTTCACAAGTACACTCCTCAAGGAAGCTTCAAGCTTCTTCAGGCTCTTTACCTTTGCAATTTGGATTCGGACCAAGATCATGAGGGTAGATGCTGTGCCAGTCTCCTGCTCACTGAACTCCCAGACGGACTGCGTGCCACTATAGATTCGTTCTTTGGCGTGGAAGCGCTTTCCGCGCGTGTCGCCGTCTTCGCCTTTTGGCCTAACTAAAAGAGCCCAATGATATCTGTTACTATTCGTCAGTGGGAAAAGGATTGGGGCTTTGCATGAAGACTAACTTGTCTTCCCCACCGGGCATCTTCACAGTCCCCCCTCGAGCGTACAATCCGACATAAAGACGATCCTTGTTAGATGGCATTCTGTAGACTAGTGTTCCTGTTTGTATTTCTGGGATCTTGTCGCGAACAATTTTATTATTACTTTTTCAGTACCAGAGGGACAGAAGATGTCGTCGATTCTAGACCTTATTTGAGATCTGCTCGGTCAGTAGAAGGGTTGTGAGAGTAGCTATTACACGAACTTGCTTGATGCTTATATTGTAGATAAAACGGCCTCTTAGGCTCATGATCATCAATGGGCTACAGCCTATTTGGCGGGCTTTTATAGACAAAAAACCCATACCTCGTGTTTGCAGCGACGAAGCGCTGCAGGCCAATAAATGGTCGATGTTGCCGCCGAGTTTCATTAACCGCCCTGTTACAGCCACAAAGTGCCGTTACTAAGAATAATATCTTCCGTCTTATTAAAGTTTATTGTATTTCAAGAAAGACTACTTGAACCGTGTTTCATTGCGTTACTTGCTTCCAGATGTCTTCCATCCCTACCCTGCAATCAACTTGACGCGTGCGCGATTGTGGTCTTTGCTTTGATTCGTCGAATTCGCGTCCGACTCATCAGCAAAACAGCACATAAACATCTAATTGCGCAAAACTTGTTTCATTATCTATCTGCATGAAAAGGGTGTCAATCTGTGTGATTGGTATATTTCCGAGACCTTTTTTTCCATTCACGCTTCCAATGCGTAGGAATGGCCTCATTACTTCGGAAATTACCATGGCCCGGCCGGGCCTGGAAGCCTCTGATTTTCTCGAATTCGAGTTTCCATAGAATCCCAGCAGTGGAAAGGATAGAGGAAGAGCGATTCCCTGACTACGTCGCCTCTCGCTACTATCCCATCGAAATCGGGGAAGTCCTGCGCGACCGCTACCAAGTGGTCGGGAAGTTGGGCTTCGGGGCTAGCTCGACCGTTTGGCTGGCACGGGACCTGGAGTAAGCCACTCAAGACCTTTGAAGGCTGCTAATGTATGAAACTCTCTGCTAATATCAGGTAGTGGTCGTCGACATGTCGCGCTAAAACTGTTCATCAATAATCAGTCCATGGGACAACAGCTGGAGAATGAGCTCGAAATGTACAAGCGCATCTCTGCCTCTTCATCAAAGCATCCTGGCCGCAGCGCAGTAAGAGAACTGCTTGACTCGTTCGATGTTAATGGACCTGATGGTTCTCATCGATGTCTTATTCATCATCCGCTCTGGGAGAGCATGTGGACATTCCTAAACCGCAATCCAGTAAGAAGACTACCGCCAGTGGTCCTCGCTGTCACCTTGCGCCGACTCTTTCAGGCCCTCGATTATCTTCACACAGAATGCAAGGTTATACATACAGGTATTGTTACATAGTCCTCGTCGGGATTGGAATGTTTTCTTACCCATTGACGTATAGATATTAAAGGAGACAATATCATGTTCGGTATTTATGACGACTCAGTATTCACTGCTTTCAAACAGGAAGAACAGAGCGAGCCGACTCCACGGAAGGAGATTGACGGCAGAACGATCTACATATCGCGAGAACTTCGAAAACCCAAGGACTATGGCGCGCCTGTTCTGTGCGACTTTGGCTCAGCTGTTGTAGGTGATGTAGAACATTGCGAAGATATCCAACCGGACATTTACAGAGCTCCCGAGGTCATCCTTGAAGCCCCTTGGTCATACAAGGTGGACATATGGAGCGCAGGATGCATGGTAAGCCATTCAAATCATTGTTTAGTGCACTGGGACTGATGTTTTTCGGCACCAGATTTGGGATATCTTTGAAGGTCGGCATATGTTTACAGGGCGTGACCCCGAGTTCCAGAAATACCGCAGCAGAGCACATCTCGCTGAGATCATTGCCCTTTTCGGTCAGCCGCCATCAAATGTCCTTGAAGCCGGCAAGGCCAGTCGCAAGTTCTTTACAGACACCGGTAAGTTGTTTCCATCGTACGTCAAGATGTTATGCCATTGCTGAAACTCACATTGTTAGGCGATTTCCGTAAGGAGATTCCCATTCCAGAAAGCACTTCTCTTGTTGAACAAGAAATCAGCCTTGAGCGTGAGAGAAAACAAATGTTTCTTGCCATGATGAATAGGATGCTTCAATGGGATCCGGCTAAGAGAGCATCAGCAAAAGAACTTGCTGAAGATCCATGGATAATGGCGTATATGTAGTACAGCTGGGCAGTTAGCAACAGCGGGAATTGCCATTTGTATCAAGATGTGTTGATCAAGGACACTACTTCTACTTGACGGACCGGCTGCGTTTCTTAGCATTGCTAAAAAAGTAAGAAATGGAAAAATTTATATTGCTGTAGATGAATATCATGTAGCTAACTTCTCTCTGCTAATTTAAGCTCTCAGCCACAAGCCTTAACTGCAAATGGCACTTCTAGATCTTGTGATGACTCCGCTACCGCTCTCCGACCCGGGCACGCTATTCACAGCCGTGAAGCCCGCCGATAGATCCAGGACGATGCAAGCGATGCCTATGAACAGTTCAATTAGCTTAGTGCTTTGGACAGCTCTAGGATCGCTTCCCGAACCACCCACGCCGCCGAAACCTGCTGACCGACCGAGGGTGGTCCTAAGCCCGATTCACCTGGTTCGTCGACCGGATCTGAACAAACCACGCGCCCGAGCGAAGGCCTGTTAGATACAAATGGGATTGAATTGGATCACTCCTGGCATGGTTTTACGGCAATCGAGGATAACTGGAATCCGATGACATGGCAAGTCCGGTCACGCATACGAACGTCGAGAGACGAAACGCAAAGGCTGAGCTCGGATTCGGCAAAGTTCGATCAGGGTGCTGAAGTCGCAGAACCCGGCCGTGCCAGATTCTTCCATCTTTGTCATCGAAACCTATGGATATGTTGTTTTATGGCCTTTTTATCGAAGCTCGTTGGTTGCCTCTTCATAGAATAGAATGACTGGTACTCTACCGTCACTAACATGCTCCCCGTGCTGCTCCAGCGAGACAAAGACCATTCTCATATCGGTTTATGCTTGCTTATGGCTGATGAGAATTAAACTGGCCAACTCCATGGTTCCCACAGCCTAATGCAGCCAGAGAGGGTATGAGGGCCAGACGATGCTCGACGGCTATTTATACAAAGTGGATGTAAGAGACTAGGCAGGAAGCAATAGGTAAGAAGTGTTAAGAGAGCATATCTACACACTGCATTACTTCTACCTGAGGGTTAACAAGATCCTGATAAAGTTAAGAGATGTAGCAACAACTTATAAGTGTACGCCCGGACCTGCCTTTTCTCATCGTCTCTCTATAATCGCCAATTCGAACGCAAAGGCCGTCGTGGGATCCTGATGCTTCATCTTCAAGCTCAACTTTCCTTCCTTCACGACCTCTTCCCTCTCCTCAAGATCAAGCGGGCCATCAACACACTTGAACTTATCCCCGTCAACAACACGAAACGCCAATGTCTTGACTTTGACTCGTGTATCATCTGTCAAGCCAACTACATCAGTCGACCAATTCCCTGGTCTTGAACGAGTACCAGCCAATATCCGCACAACATCTTCCTCAACAGTCGCATAGACGTCCAGCAATCCATCTGAACTAGCAGTAGTCTTCAGACGTTGACCCTTCATGCTGGAGGCGTAGTACTTGTAGACCTGATACTCAGCAGTCGGCCAGTAGCCTTCGCCCTCAATCCTGTAGCTACCATCACTCCCGTTCGGCTTACTCAAAAGACCTGACCTCATTAGTATCTAAACCACGGCGATGTTTGACAGACTTACCAGCCATAAAGTCATGCAAGGCTCCAGCAATAGCCCAATTTCCCCGAAGGCCATGTGCATTCTCTCGCTCAAGACCAGCGATCCACCATGCTCCTGCAGAAGGAACCTGTTCTCCATAAACAGCATACTCGTTGATGTTCACATCTTGCGCTTTTTCGAGAGGAATGCCGTGCTTGGATAACAGATCGTGGAATGAGGCCATGGAGCTCGCCATGGTAACTGCTTCGTCACCGCCCTCCATGTGCCAGGACCATTGATCGGGCAGGCTGTCTTTGCAGCGAGACAGGAAAGCCGACCACCACTCATGCGATGCTGAAGGAATGGCTGACATGCTTGGACCAGTGATGCGAGTAGTCGGCAGTACTTCTCTTCGAATATGTTAGAAGAAGTTCATGTACCTTAGGAGCGACATACCGAATCTTGTTGAACGAACGAGTCCAGAGCTCCAACCACTGCTCCATCGAACGATTCCAAAAGAAGCTCAAATCCGGTTCATTCCAGATATCGACAACAAGGCCCTCAATCATATGAGATTTCTTGACGTCATCAAGCGTCCGTTCAAGAAATGCATCCCAACTTGTCCAATCATTGTCATCTCCAGGGTACGCAAAGCGTTCCGACTGTCCACCATCAGCACCCCAAGCCGCAGGAAGCAAGTAAATAAACTCCCCGCCGTGTTTTCGAGTAGTCCTATAGTTACTCAATGCCGAAGCAAATCGAGCCTAATCGTGTCAATACATATACCAAACATTCTCGGAGGCAATTTACCTCGTAGTCTTGAAGACTAACGGCGTAGCCTTTCGTTCCGGGTAACTGAGATCCTCCGCCGCGACCATAATTGAACCCAATGTCTTTGTAAAAGTAATCTGGTATCTGATCAGGTCTATCTGGTATTCCGTACAGGATGCCAGAGGCGAGATGACAAGGCCGTCCTGTTCGCACGGCGACGTCTACCGTTGCTACCCCGACAACAGGGTCTTTGACTTTGTCGACCTCCGACGGCAGGCTTTTCAGCATGGACATGTACTCTTCCGGCATCTTGGCGAGGGTATGGGCGCTTGCTTGCTTGATAGTGTAAGGTGAAGTGTTAAGAGGTATATACCCAGGAAGAAACTGGGACTAAGCCTTCAATGGGAACCCCGGTCGGATGCGAAAATTGTCGCGATGAGGAGATACTCAATTGTTCTGGTTGATGAGTTGAGTCTTGGAATGCCAATCCAATTCAAGAGCCATTCCCTTCCGCCGGAGCGTCTTGACTCGTGATGTCGCGATTCGTGAACTGACCCCACTTACTCTCCGGTGGGAGACCAGCTCCAATTGGACAAGAAATTAGAAACAATCCCCCGCAAAGATCTTCAAACCTAATCTTCGTACTCTATCCCCATGGGGTGACAATCTTGGCACGATGCTACTTAAACACGCGACGATCCTTCAATTCCCTCCATCTCACCCTCACAACCATTCTTCACAATGTCTCTCGACGAGAAACAAAACGCCGACCACATCGAACAAGATGTCACCTCACAGAAAGAATGGAGCCACGTCCAAGGCGAGCAAGGCGCCTCCATCGACCGCAATATGTCCCTCTGGGAAGCCATAAAAGCCTACCCGGGTGCTATAGCATGGTCATTCCTCTTATCGTCATCCATCATCATGGAGGGCTATGACATTGTCCTCATCGGCAATCTCATTGCTCAGCCGGCCTTTCAGAAAGCGTATGGTGATTGGTACGGCGAGAAGCTCGGATATCAGATTTCCGGACCATGGCAGGCTGGTCTTGGGAATGGCACTGCCGTGGGTACTATTATTGGTGCTTTTGCTAATGGTTGGCTTACGGAGCGATTTGGATATCGTCGGACGCTTGTTGCGTCTCTTGTTGCAGTTACGGGATTCATCTTTATTACTTTCTTTGCACATAATCTTCCGATGCTTCTGGCAGGATCCATTCTCTGTGGTTTACCCTGGGGCGTTTTCGCAACTATGGCTCCTGCGTATGCCTCAGAGATCTGTCCCATGGCTCTTCGGGGCTATCTCGCCAACTATGTTTGTCTTTGCTGGGCGCTCGGTCAGCTCCTCGCTGCTGGCGTCTTGTTCAGCTTTTCCGACAACTCGACCCAATGGGCATACCGCCTGCCTTTCGCGATTCAGTGGATCTGGCCTATTCCCCTCATCATCATTCTCTGGTTCACGCCCGAATCTCCATACTGGCTCGCTAAGAAGAATCGTCTCGATGAAGCGAAGGGTGTTCTGAGACGTATCTCGGCCAAGAGCAGTAAGACAGACGAGGATCTCGACAAGCAGCTTGCTATGATTGTCCACACCAACAAGATCGAGAGTGAACATACCAAGGGCTCCAGCTACCTCGACTGTTTCAAGGGCATCAATCTTCGACGCACCGAGATCGTTTGTCTTGTCTTTGTCGCGCAGAACACAACTGGCGTTGGTATCGGCGGTACACCTACGTACTTCTTCGTTCAAGCCGGCGTTGACGCAAGCAACTCCTTTAAATTTGCGACCGGTGCACTCGGCCTCGCTTCCGTTGGCGTCATCATCTCTTGGTTTCTCATCTACCGCATCGGCAGAAGGGCGTTGTATGTCTGGGCCTGTGGCATCTGTACAATTCTCATGCTCATCATCGGCATTCTCGCCAGCGTGCCCCAGACTCAAGCTGTTAGCTTCGGCCAAGCTGGCGTTGTACTGATCTGGGAAATCGTGTTCTACGCTACCATCGGACCCGTTTGCTACGCCATCATCGGGGAGATTCCTGCCGTTAGTGTTCGCAGTAAGAGTATCTGTCTTGCTCGAATCGCGTACTACATCTCGCAAATTCTCAATGGCACGTATGGCCCCTACATGATAAATCCTACTGAGGGTAACTGGAAGGGTAAAGTCGGCTATTTCTGGGTGAGCACCGAAGTGTCCATGTTTGTTTCTTCTCTGACATTATCCAGGCTGGACTTTCTCTGTTGACGTTCACTTGGGCCTACTTCCGCCTCCCGGAAACAAAGGTATGCACTTGGTTGGGCGGATGATGATGGTCTGCTAACATGTACAAGGACCGAACCTTTGAGGAGATCGATATTCTGTTCGCCAACAAGACTGCTGCCAGGAAGTTTGCCGACACCAAGGTTGATGCTTATGCTGATGATTCTGAGGGGCGGATCATCACGGATACTGATGTCTGATGTAAGGTATTGCTGGACGGATGGTGGCGGGACGCCGGAGATGGTCATGTTAGTCCTTTGGTGTTAAAGTGGTGTCCAGAAGCTATACATCTCTTTATTCATTGAAACTAGACCCTGCGAGTCATCGGAAACTTTTGACAGCTGTGTTTATAACAAATGCGATGCCTTGAGGAATCTCACGTTTGAGTCTGTTCGCCCATTGTCCACGATCAGAACTATCATATAGCTGTCTGTTATGGACACACCGACAGCAGTTGTATCAATTAAAGGTCCTCTCTTATAAACCAGATCTGTTCTTCTCACTCTACTGTTCTAATTGACCTCTCTACCTACAGGTGATTCCTCACAGGATTCGCTCCTGATTGCCGATATGAACAAGTATGCTACAGCCATTCAGCCTCATGACTTCATAGCCGCAACCACCATCTGATCTAGGCGTCAGTGATCGGATAATTGATCTGACAGGCCTAAATTCTAGATCTTACCCGTGTAGATGATATCATGGCTTGTCATGACATCATAGATCGATAATGGCTATAAAGAGTCAGACGCGGAAGCTACACTAATCGGCCGTCAATATCACAACCATCACTTACTATTGTCACGACGGCCACCTGCACAATTCAGTCTACTTGCCTATTAATCTCTATTCTCAAAATGTCAGACAAGCCTGTCACCGACCTCACCGATACTGTGCCCAAGGCCATGGATGAGCAAGGTAGCGTTGGCAAGCAGTTCACAGGTACGACGGTTGCAAGTTGATCAGCAAGATCAAATCTAATGTTTATCTCAGAGAATGGAGCTATTGGAGGTACCGCTCAAAAGATCGGTGGTCCCTTTGATAAGGAGGGCGTGATCGGGAAGCAATTCACTACAGAGGGAAGCATTGGGGGAACGGTTCAGAACAATATGGGGGGAGAGAAGAAAGCATGAATAACTGATGAATGTTAGTCGTCATACATCACCGTGACCCATTGAGTAGCATTTCTATACATTGTCATGATCAAGTTGTGATACCCAACCACGACAGCAACTATAAGAAGGCAACATCCCGCCAGTCAATATTATTTACTTCAACATGAACTATTATTTGCTTTAAATGGGCTTTATGGTATATACATGGAGATTATGAGCTGTGGCTTGCTTGCGATGTTGTCGGAGTCATCATTCTGACGTTGACATGACGGCCAAGACATTTCAACGTCACAGTGTTCACATCTCAGGCTCAATGATGCGCAGTAGGACTAAATGCTCCGCGAATTGCTACCGAATTGCATGCACGGGAAATGTAATGGAAATAGTGACGATTTCGTGATGTGAAAGCTGAGGCGGTGTAATACAAGCCACGACAATTATTGGAGCGAGATGCATGTCCCTGGCTTGACTTGCAGCTGAAATGATCTCGATTGGCAATCAGCTTGATTCAATTCGTCCGTGTCTTGTGTGGTACGGTTCATCATCTATCTCAGTTCATGCATTGCAATGATATAAACCTCTTGAGCTCACTCCAGTCCTCTCGCAGACTCGACTTCACTCATACCTCCTAGGATGCTCTTCTCACTGGCCTCAGCATTACTCCGAGTCTCTCGCATCTCACGCCGCTGCACAGTCCAGCTATCATTCAGAGCTTGTCAATCTACAATGGCAACCTCTAAGTCGCAACAGTTCTTTCATACCTCTGGCGCTACGGACTCAGTCTGGGTTCACCAAGACCCCGTTTCTAACCGCCCATCATTCTCCATGCTTAACCAAGACATTGAGACTGACGTCTGTATCGTTGGTGCTGGCATCGGCGGTATTTCTACAGCCTATGAGCTTGTCACCCGAGGGCGCGAAGTCGTCCTTCTGGAAGCTCGTCAGGTACTTTCTGGAGAGACAGGCCGGACTAGCGGCCATTTGACCAATGATCTTGACGATGGGTATACTGAAATTGCCAAGAAGCACGGTGATGAAGGCGCCAGAGTTGCCGCTGAGAGTCACGCCTGGGGAAGAGATCGTGTAGGAGAGATCTCTCAGATGCTTGGTATCGAGTGCGAGTACCGCAAGCTTCCGGCTTACGAGGTTTCTCAGTACTCTACAAAGGACACAAAGGAACATGAGGATGAGATGAATGATCTTCGTAAGGAAGAGGCAGCTCAGAGTAAATTCGGCATTGATGCTAGATTTGATGCAAGTTTCTCACCCATCTTGATTCTTGATCTGCGATTAACTTTGGTGTAGGAATCACTGACCGTTCGTGGCTGGGATGGAGCAATTGACCAGCGCGGCGGTCTCATTATCAAAGACCAAGCAACATTCCATCCAACAAAGTATCTCAACGGCATCCTCAACTGGCTCAAGGCCCAGCCCAACTTCCGCTGCTTCGACCAAACGCGCGTCATGGCCGTTGAAGAAAAAGGCATTGAGATTCTCGGCATCGGCAACAAATCTGTCAATGTCTCGACAGCAGATGGCTACACTGTAAAGTGCAACAACGCGGTCGAAGCAACCTGCGTTCCCCTCCAGAAGCTCAGCGTCATCGCTCAGATGGAGTTCATACGTTCTTACTGTATCGCTGCGCGTATACCTAAAGGCGCTATTGAGGATTGTCTGTTATATGATCAGGCAGAGGAGTATAAGTATGTTCGACTGACTGCTTGTGATGATGAGCATGATTATCTTGTTGTGGGAGGGTGTGATCACAAGGTTGGACAGGAAGATACGACTACTGAATTTGATGAACTTGAGAAGTGGACGCGTGAGAGGTTTTCACAGGTCAAGTCTATTGACTACCGCTGGAGTGGCCAGATCTTTGAACCTGTTGATTTCATGCAGTTCATTGGTAAGAACCAGGGAAACGATCACATTTACATCATCACTGGTGATTCAGGTGACGGTCTCACGCATGGAGTTTTGGCTGGGCGATTGATCGCAGACGAAATCGACGGCAACAAGAACCCATGGGCAGACATCTACTCCCCCAAGCGCATCGCATCAATGGTCAAGTCCCTCCCCAGCATGATCGCCCACGACGTGCAGATCAACGCGCAGTACAAGCGCTTCCTACAATACGACATCACAGACATTGAAGATCTCGGTCGTGGAATGGGCGGGGTATTGAACAAGGTAATTTCCCTTTGTTATTATCGTACGTGCACAAGCTAATGTCTTTCAGGCCGGATCAAAGCCCATCGCCGTGTACAAAGACGAAGAGGGTAACGTGAAGCAGTACAGCGCTTTGTGTCCCCATATGAAAGGCGTCGTGTGCTGGAACACTACTGAGAAGAGCTTTGACTGTCCTGTTCACGGAAGTCGGTTCTCACGCGAGGGTATTTGTGTAATGGGGCCTTCGAAAGGAAACTTGGATCCTGTTGATGAGGCTGGAAAGACGGATCAAGAGAATGTCGCTGGCAGTTAAACGTGGCCTACAATTCACAATGACCTTGTGTAATTCAGACTCACAAAGTATCCGCGATTAAGATGAAACGTGCTCGGGTAATACGTGCCAAACCGCCGAGACGTTGTACGCGTACACATCATCAATCCGCCAAAAGGCGACATGCTCAACGCGTCATCTCACCAATGAAATGGCTGCGTTTACGATGAGCCCAATTATTTGCGTTTCGCAACACCCTTGCCTCACGTCAGACCATGGACACCGAAGAAGCCGAGCGTAGATGGTGACAAAAAGGATGAGACATATTTAGCCTGAAAGCTCACGTCATCTTTTCTTACATCCCATGCGGGGTAAAATAGCTGATGACGCCAACATTAGTCCGTCATAGACGTGAGATCGATATAAAGTCTGAGCATCATTGACCGTTTCTCATCTTGATAAGGACGTTGGAGTGGCTTGATATTGTCATTTCTGTTTCCATCGAGTGATTGATTCATCATGAGGTCTCTTTTGGCTCTTACTTTGGCTACGGCCACTTCAGCTTTCGTCATCCCCGAGGGCTTGGACGCGTTCAACACCTGGAAGGATGATCTGAAGCAAAGCCTCGAAGACATTCCCACGCGCTTTCGCAAGACTCTTGATGAAGCGACTGAGCAGCTCTCGACTGAGTTCACGGCCGCAATCCACAACAGACTCCAGGATGAAGAGGCTTTCCTCCCCGCTGATGATGTAGACGACGACGAGTCTGCGGATATCTTTGGCCGGACGGGCGGTGACTTTACCGATCATACGACATATGAACTCATCGCCAAGAGCAACTACACCAAGAAGTTCTTCAAGCTTGTTCAGAAGCACGAGAAGTTTGGCAAGTTGCTTAACAGCACTGATGCAAACTACACGCTCTTTGTCCCGACTGATGAGGCATTTGAGCATATTCCTCACCATCATAAGGATAAGCCTAGTGATGAGTTCGTCGAGGCTGTTCTTAACTACCATCTTGGTGTTGGGGAGTATCCTGCGTCGCGAATCCTCTTCACGCATACTATTCCTACGACTCTGAAGGAACCTCTGCTTGGCGATAAGCCTCAGCGTCTTCGTACCAGTGTTGGATTTTCTGGAGTGAGGGTTAATCTGTACAGCAAGGTCATCGCAGTCAACTTTGTAAGTATATTCCATTGGATAAACTGATCTTCGCTGACTGCTGCAGAAAACCAAGAATGGCATCATCCACGCCGTCAACAGAATCCTGGTCCCTCCTCCCTTCATTGGTAAGGAGATCAGCCTCTTCCCGACCCAATTCTCAACTCTTCTGCTCGCCTTCGAAAAGACCGACTTCGTCAAGTACATCCACAACATCCCCATGGTCGGCAGCACTGTCTTCGCTCCCTCCAACGACGCATGGCGCCGTCTGGGTCCCCGCGCAAACGCGTTCCTCTTCAACACTGAGACAGGCAAGAAATATCTCAAGGCCCTTCTCAAGTACCAGATCGTTCCCAACATTACTCTCTACAGTGATGAGGTCTACTACGGGGACGAGAAGGTGTCGAAGAAGCTTTATGGCCATGGCGATGACTTCCATATTGAGCTCCCGACTCTTCTTGAGAAGAGTGTTGGTGTTGATGTTCACACTTTCAAGAGCTGGACTACGATTGTACTGAATGGGCATAATGTTATTGGGTTTAATGATGCTGTTGGTAAGAATGGTGTTATCCAGGTTCCCAAGACCATTCCCATTCCGCCTCATAGAAAAGGTGAGCATCCTTCTGAGATGGAAGGTGAGATTAGTGTTGAGGAGCTCAAGGAGAGATTGGAGGAGTATGTTGAGGACGAGGATGACGATGACTTCGAGAATGCCGAGCTGTAAGAAACTTTCGCTCTATATAGATTGAATGGATGAAAAGTCCCAAGGGGGAAAGAAGAGTTGGTATGATGATGTAGGATAGTAGGGAGAGGACAAGTTAGACTACAAAGAAACAATGATTAGTCTCCCACCTCAGCTTCATTTGTGCACACCAGGATCATGGCGGAACCATCAAGTCAGTATCAAGAGAGCTTAGCTTCAAGAAACAGGAGATGAACATCACTCTACAAATGCAAAAAGGGTTGACAGAAGACCAATGGATTATTAATCTAGATATCTCGTCTATTCCGTCCTGTGTATCGCAATTCCCAGGATCTCCGTCACTGGTAGTCCGGCATGCTGAGCTCAGACAAATCCTTCCCAAGACTCTATCAAGTCAAGAGGTAAACAACATCAAAAACAAAAACAACCATGAGTGGGGGACTTTTCCGTCTACTCGCGCACTCGGTCTGGCATTCCAAGCTCAGACAACTTTTACCAAACTCCGAAAAACAAAGACATGGGGGTGAGATCACACTGGTGCAGTGGACTTAGTTCTCGGCGGTCTTGATGATGTACTGACGCATTCCGGACTTCTCAGCCTTGCCGAGAGTCTCGATCTTGAGACCAACCTCGTTAGTGAGCTGGTGAATCTCGCCCTCGTATCGCTTCCAAGATTTGAACATCTTGAAAGTAGTTCCCGCGGCGACATGGATATCGAACTTGGTACAGATCATGTCGTGGTTGGCAGTGACGTCGAAGTAATGCATAGCTTTGTTGAGCTTGCTCACGACAGTCCAAGCAGTCTTGGGGTTAGCACCAACAATGCCAGCGTGATCCTGAAGACCCTGGAGATAAGTGGTGAAGAAAGCGTCGTACTCGACAGTGTTGTACGCAGCGTGGGTCTGGCTGGCTTCAGCGCCGGTAGGTCCATCTTGGCCAACGATGAGACGATCAACAGGAGCCATGTGACCCTTGAACTCGACACAACGATCCTTGGCCATAGAGTCGGGAGCGTTGTAGAAGATACTGCCAAGAGACAGGAAGAGACGAGCAGTAGGACGGGTCTGCTTGAAATAAACGTCACCCTGCTCAAAGGAGCCCCAGAGACCAATACACTTCACACCAGGGAAGGTAGCCTTAGCCTTGGCAATATGCTCGACGAGAGAGGCATGAGACAGATCGAGAGCAACATAGACGCACTCCTTGCCCTGAGAGATGAATTCGTGGACGTAGGGCTCAAACTTCTTGGAGTTAGCAGCGCCGAGGTCAACGATGTGAGTACCGGACTTGAGTTGCTGAACGACCTGCTTGGCGGTGGCCTTGATAATAGCCATCTCATCGGAAGTCTGGTATGACTTATCGGCGATTGCGTTCCATTTCTCCATTCCGGAGGTGTAGGCGACTTCCTTGGGGAAGTCACCCTTGCCAAGGAAGGCCTTGGGAAGCTGATCGTCAACAAAGGTGAGGTTGATGGAAGAACCACCAATGTCGATGACCTCGCCGTCAGTAGGATAGGCAGTGGAAAGAGAAGACATATTGTCGGTAGTGGGAGGGATGATTGTTGTGTTTATGTTAGTTTGGGGTATGAATGTGAGGTTGATAGTTGTTGTGAGTTGATGTGAAGACAAAGGTTGAGATGTTGTGAGGTTAGTGAGGAGGAAAGAAGAGAGTAGGATCAACAACCAAAGGGAAGTATTTATTGGGATATTCGATGTGGATAGCATTTAACAGTGGTAGGAAATAATGCCACTGGTAACGAGAACGACAGTCATTGTTCCATTGTGACTGGCAGTCTTGTTCAGCCTGGGGAGCTGACAGCTGAAAGAGACTGTCAGATACACAGTCAACGAGTTGTGAGGCCAATGCAACAAAGAGTTGGCAGTGGCAGAGGTCATGGACCAGAAACGTTGTTCATGATTCATTCTCTGTGAGTTCTTTGAGAGCATTGTGGACTTGATTGGTGAGAGGAATGAATGGCAAGTCTTGACACTGTTCATACGAACAGACAAGGCTCACAATCCTTCTTGAAGGGATGAAATACGCAATTCGGTCCTTTAGGGGACTAGTCAACGCTTGGCTCATATTACTGTCAAGACAATGGAGTTGGTTTACACAAATACATAGATATATCATAGACTGTATCTACAGAAAGATATCCGCACTAAGCCCCTTTTGCGAGCATTGACATACCCTCCACTACATACCATTTCTCAAGAAGCGTAACTAAGAGATGAGTAAACACGACAAAGATTGCTCAGTATCAGTAGATGATATACTACGTCTCCAAGTTTTAACCACCAGGAGTCCATCCGCTAGCGCTCCAACTCTCAGGACTAATATCAGGCCAATACAACCCCTGCGCTCCATCTTGATACATCGACGCATCAATAAACTGCAAATCCAGAACCGGCTGTGATAACAACTCCTGCAGTGACGGCTCCGACAGCGCCATACCCGCCGTAGGATTCAACACATCCAGCCCCAACAGCCCTGTATCCTGCACCACAAACTGTCCCCGTCTCGCCTCAAGCGCCCTCATACAAACCTTCATAGCATCAACATGTCGACAAAACTCCTCCGCCGCAAAATTACCATTCTCTTTCAGTTGATGCAGAAACTGCGCCGCTGACTCGAACTGCTCTTTATCACTGCGACATTCCTTTCCGTCGATGAGGCTTGAGATAGCGAGAACCGTGGCGGATGAGAAGAGATATTGCGTGTAGAAGTAGTCGAACGTTGCGAAGGAGCCGTCGATCCAGCAGTCGATTAGGAGGCGGCATGAGTGACGCGCGCAGCGGATACACGCTTCGGAGAGTGTCATAGCCGATACGGGGATTTGAGGTTCCGTGCGAGGTTGAGTGTCCCATGCTGAGACGTGAGTCCTGAGAACATGCAGAAGAATAGGGCGCGTCGCAGTTATGGCGACCTGGTTAAAGTACAGGTGTAGTGACAGAGGCTTTGGACTTGGTTCGGGTGCATCAGTCGGTTCGATGTGAAGATGCGGTGGCAATTCCTCCACAAAAGCCCTCAGATCCCTCAACGCCTCCTGAACCCTCTGCGAGAGTGTTTTCTGCTGCGGTCTCCTTGTGTAAATCGCATTAATCACCTTCGCTGCCAGTCTCGCGAGTCTCAGACCCGCGATGAAATACGAGGAGTCGGCAAAGTCATCCGAGGGTGT